GATGGATTTATGAAGGATGAGATTAATCATAGAATTGATGAAGAAAAAAAGGTGAGTGGTGCATTGGGGTATATGTGGAGGCAAAAAATGTTATGTATGGAGGCAAAGAAGGGAATGTATGAAAGTATAGTAGTACCAACACTCTTATATGGGTGTGAAGCTTGGGTTGTAAATGCTGCAGCGAGGAGGCGGTTGGAGGCAGTGGAGATGTCCTGTCTAAGGGCAATGTGTGGTGTAAATATTATGCAGAAAATTCGGAGTGTGGAAATTAGGAGAAGGTGTGGATTTAATAAAAATATTAGGCAGAGGGCTGAAGAGGGTTTGTTGAGGTGGTTTGGTCATTTAGAGAGAATGGATCAAAGTAGAATGACATGGAGAGTGTATAAATCTGTAGGGGAAGGAAGGCGGGGTAGGGGTCGTCCTCGAAAAGGTTGGAGGGAGGGGGTAAAGGAGGTGTTGTGGGCGAGGGGTTTGGACTTCTAGCAAGCGTGCGTGAGCGTGTTAGATAGGAGTGAATGGAGACAAATGGTATTTGGGACCTGACGATCTGTTGGAGTGTGAGCAGGGTAATATTTAGTGAAGGTATTCAGGGAAACCGGTTATTTTATATAACTAGACTTGAGTCCTGGAAATGGGAAGTACAATGCCTGCACTTTAAAGGAGGGGTTTGGGATATTGGCAATTTGGAGGGATATATTGTGTATTTTTATATGTATATACTTCTAAACTGTTGTATTCTGAGCACCTCTGCAAAAACAGTGATTATGTGTGAGTGAGGTGAAAGTGTTGAATGATGATGAAAGTATTTTCTTTTTGGGGATTTTCTTTCTTTTTGGGTCACCCTGCCTTGGTGGGAGACAGCCGACTTGTTGAACAAAAAAAAAAAAAAAAAAAAAAAAGTAGTGAACAGTATTTAGATAAAGGTAGGAAAGTTTTTATTTCATTTATGGATTTAGATTGGGTGGATAGGGGAGCAATGTGGCAGATATTGCAAGTGTATGGAATAGGTGGCAAGTCACTAAATGCTGTAAAGAGTTTTATGAGGATATTGGCTCAGGTTAGGGTATGTAGGAGAGAGGGAGATGACTTTCCAGTAAAAATAGGCCTTAGACAGGGATGCCTATTGTCACCATGGTTGTGTAACATATTTGTAGATAGGGTTGTAATAGAAGTAAATGCTAAGGTGTTTGGGAGAGTGAGGTGGGATTAAAATAATCAGTATCAAATACAAAATGGGAGTTTTTCCTGATGATAATGTGCTTTTGGGAGATTCTGAAGAGAAGTTGCAAAGGTCAGTGGAAGAGTTTGGGAGGGTCTGTAAAGGAAGGAAGTTGAAAGTGAACATTGATATGAGTATGGTGATGAGGGTATCAAATGAGTTAGGCAAGGACAAATTGGAAATCAGATTGGAGGGAGGGAGTAGAGATGAAGTGAATGTATCCAGATATTTGTAGTGGACGTGTTGGCAGACAAGTATATGAAAGATGAGGTAAATCATAGAATTGATGAAGCAAAAAAGGTGGGTGGTGCATTGAGATAATTGTGGAGGCAAAAAACGTTATCCATGGAGGCAGAGAAGGGAATGTATGAGAGTATAGTGGTACCAACACTCTTATGTGAGTGTGAAGCACGAGTTGTGAATGTTACAGTGAGAAGGAGGCTGGAGGCAGTGGAGATGCCATGTCTAAGGAAAATGTGTGGTGTAAATATTATGCAGAGAATTCATTATTTGGAAATTGCAAGGAGGTGCAGAGTTAGTAAAAGTATTATCAGATTGGCTGAGGAAGGGCTGTTGAGATGGTTTGGTCATTTAGAGTGGATGGAGCAAAATAGGATCATTTGGAGGATGTATAAGTCTGTAGTGGAGGGAAGTGGGAAGTGGAGGTTGTCCTAGGATGGGATGGAGGGAGGGGGTAAAGGAGGTTTTGTGTGTAAGGGGCTTGGACATACAGGAGGTATGTGTGAGCATCTTAGGAGTAGAGACAAGTGATTCCAATAATCCATATTTTATGAGCAGGTAAAGTAAATATTGACCCAGTATTTGTATAGCTTTAAGGAAATTGCTGAAGGAATTGGTATTTGTGTGGTGTTCTGAAATTTGTTTCATTAACCCTCTGGGGGTCGCCAGGCCCTCTCAGAGACTTGTTCTCAGGGTTGCGAAAATTTAAAAAAAAAATTATTTTTTCTTATGAAAAGATAAGAGAATCTTTTCCTGATCATAATGACACCAAAAGTATGAAATTTGATGGAAAACTTACGGAATTATGCTCTCGCAAAGTTAGCGGTCTCGACAATGTTTACGCATTGGCGATTTTGCCCACTTTGAGCCCTATTTTCGGCCAATTCCAGTGTACTAGTCAACAAAAATCATAACTATTTCGCTAGAACTCAATTTTTTCTATCAAACGAGCACAAGAAACCACCCATTTACCAATTTCAACTATCCAATAAAGTGGTCAGAATTTAGCAATTTTGCCAATTTCACACAAATTTCAAAAGATGCCAATTTCCAAATAGGGTCCAGAATAAACAAGAAAGACATTCCTGGCACTAAAATAACATTTCCTCTGTTCATTAGTCATGTCCCCAGGCCTCTCTTACATTTCTTTTGCTTTCCACTTTGATTTTTTATTCTCACAAAAAAAAATAAGATTTGCTGTTACGCAGACTACTGCATTAGTGTAGAAATGGTATAAAAATATCGGCGCACTTGTGAAAGAATATTAGATTTGCCAGTTGACATGTATTGGATGCTTAGCATGATTTGTTTACTTTTGAACTTTGAGCTCAATTTCAAGGTACTTTTCATTTAAAACCAGTCAAAATCATCTCAATTTCTGTAATATGTCTTTCATTCTATACAAGAGACCAGGAAAACTAGAATACAACAATAAATACCATATGAAAATACAGTGCAAAGTCACTATTTTAAACCAAAAACACGGTCAAAGTTTTTTTTTTCTCATTACGCACTGTGTGCTGCAGGATTTTTTTTATACTGTGCACACTGACCACATATACCCATTCTTTCATATGTAGGCCTACCAGCTTTCTCTTGCTAGATTTGAGGGTGCTAGAATTTATGCGTACTGGTACGTCAAAAACCCTGGTGTGTAAGCTGTACTAGTACGGCTGAAACCCCGAAAGGGTTAAAACATGCAGAACTGAGTTATATGTTGATGCTGGAAGAGAAGCAGAATGTTCATTTGAGTTTGTATATCTGTAGCTTTATTCAAGATGCGTGTAGAGGTTTTAAAATAGTTACAGGTTACTTACCTGAAAAGTGGCACAAATTGTAAAATAGTGTTTTGTGAAGTGAATAACATAGGAGAACATAGATTTCAAATACTTCCAAATTTGCATAACAAATTTCTTACAGTTCCACTAAGTAAAAATTAATACAGTACAACTTATATTCTGATGGTGCTTTGCTCTTGAAGTGAAAGTATGCTGAAGGTTAGTGTGGGCCATCTGGATTGAAATAGACGAATGTGGTTCTTGTGTTGATGTGGATGCAGAGTTGTCAGTAATTTATGGTTGTACTGGAATGCTCAAGTATTCTGTAATGCATCTCTGGTATGTTTTACCCTGCAGTACTTTATGGAGCTCACCAGAAAATGTTATCGTAAAGAAGATTACTCCTTTTAAAACCTTCAAATCATTGAGAATCAAACATACATTGTTGGGAAGGCTTTCTCTCATGTATAAATAACAAAAAGGCACAATACCGTGACTGGAACGATACACAAATAACCCGCACATAAAAGAGAGAAGCTTACGACGACGTTTCGGTCCGACTTGGACCATTGACAAAGTCACACTAACAGAGGTGGTCAATGGTCCAAGTCGGACCGAAACGTCGTCGTAAGCTTCTCTCTTTTATGTGCGGGTTATTTGTGTATTTCTCTCATGTAGTTTTATAGCACTATGGGATTTTGTGCCTTATTATTTGAGCACTAAAATTCCTGTTTTTGTTTTCTCCTTAGTCCATACATTCAGCAACTTTCCCATCTTATTTAGTTGTAGTAAAATCTTTGACATTTTTAATCAGAAGACAATCTGTATTAAAGCACAAGTTCTTATTTTTTCTCATTGTTTCTAATTATACAATTGGTTGATGCATTCACACAAAGCTCAGAGGCAGTGTCCATAACATGTACCCAACTCTAAGCCTATCTGACACGTTCACTTTTTTAACAAAGTCCGACTTATGCTTGTTCTTCTTGGTAGCACCTCCATCATCATTAGTATTCCTCTTGGGTGCCATAGTTAATATCCATGGATCAGATAGAATGATGAAAATATCCAAAATTATGTACAATATTTTGATAAACCCAGAGTAATTAAGACTCGAGATGTTTCCAGAATGCAACTGTACTTCGTGTAGGCTGTCCATGAAAAGGATTATATTATGTACCATGGCTCAGAGTACCCAGAGTTTGTATGTAACTAATGCTACGGTTAGTAGCACCAATATTTTGCTTAACAACTGATTCTTCAACTCTATGTGAAGCATAATATTAAAATTTTCATTCTTTGTAAAAATTTTTGGTTGCATTATTTCATTGAAGTTGTAACAAAACTACACTATGTGAAGTTGTGTTATAAATGTTTACTGTGTACAGATTTAGAGTAGCTTTCACTTGCATTGTCTCCCAAAATGTTATATTATTAATTCTGGATTAAATCTCATAGTAGCATGTAATAACATTTGAAATATTGAGAACATGCTCTTATTGGTTTTACTTTGGAAGTAGGAGCAACTTTTAAATTTGAGCTTAGTCAGTTTCTTTACCAATCTCATTCACATACTCCTATTTCCCAGGCACTCTCTCTATGACCCATATAGGTTTTGTGCTTCCCCACAAATAAAATATCACTTAAACCTAAAATGTGAGTATTTAAAATTCTAATATTTAATAGCAGTATTTTGTTAGGTGCATGAAAAGTCGGCGACACTTAAGTGAAATGTATTTGTATGTCAATATCTACATTTTCAGATGTCATTAGAAGAGGTGGTACAACAACTGAAGAATCATCAGACTTTACAGATGAGATTGATGTAAGTGATGAATCCTTTCATAATTAAATGGATTAGTAACTGCACTTTGTTTAGTTACTAAGAATGGATTTTTAGTGTTTGGCACAAATAAGGAGAAAATCACATTACAGAACAGGTGGTGGTTTTAACCCATGGCAATGTGAGTCCTAAAACTTGTGAGCCAGTGTGTTAACCACTCAGCCAGCTGGCTGTAATAAGATTTATCAAATTATTTGTATACACCATACGGAGGTTAGCATAAGCCTCACTGTAAAAACCTGCATTTATGATCATAGTACAACCCATGCTAGCCTTGGCATTTTTTCCCTTGGATTTTTTATTATTATGCTTTTGTTCTTGTTATTGTGTTCATCAGGATGTGATGAACTGTTTATTGGCCCTATGGTGGGCCATGGCTCATTTACTTCTTTGGCCCTATGGTGAGCCATGGCTCAGTGACTGCTGGCTTACTGGTTAGGTTCAGTGGTTTGAGTCCATGTTTTTTTTTTTTATATGAGAGTAGTACTAAGGTTATTCACACTAAATTGTTTCTGACTGCAAAAGATCTTGAATGTGGCCACCATCAAAGATGACAAGTTTCCAATGAAACATGGCATCAAAGATACAGATAGAATACTGTAGATAGATGAGTATTTGAGCTTCAGGGGTTAACACTGATTAGCATTATCATCAACAGTACAGGTTGACCATCACTAATCCGGCATCATCAGGACCTGTAGGGTGCCTGATTAATGATTTTGCTGGATTACAGAGTGGTTAGGTTAGAATACACTTAACCTAACACCTAACCACCTCATGCTACCTTTAAAATACCCCGTAAATCAGTACACATTGGACCACCTGCTTGCAAGCTTGCTCCCAGTGTCAAAGGATTTTCAAGAAAAAAAAAATTATTTTATCTTATGAAATGATAGAGAATCTTTTTCTGAAAGTTATGAAATGAAAAGTATGAAATTTGATGGAAAACTTATAGAATTATGCTCTCGCAAAGTTAGCTGTCTCGGGGATATTTACACATCAGCGATTTTGCCCAATTTATGCCCTATTTTTTACCAATTCTATTGTTCCACTCAACCAAAGTCATAGGTATTTTGCTAGTATTCCTTGTATTCTGTCGATTAGGTAGAAGTAACAGCCCATTTACCTATTTCAGCTACCCAGTAAAGTGATCAGAAATCTGTAATTTGGCCGATTTCACACAAATTTCAAGAGATGCCAGTTTCAAAATAGGGTCCAGAATAAACAATGCAGACATTCCTGACACTAAAATAACATTTTCTCTGTTCATTAGTCACCTCTCCAGGCCCCTCTTATATTACGCTTGCTTTCCATTCTGAATTTTTATTCACACAAAACATAGAAGAATTACTGTTGTGCAGACTGCTGCATTATTGTAATACAGTGAACCCCTGGTTTTCGTGATTAATTCATTCCAGAGAGTCTGCCGAAAATCAAAATTCACGAAAACCAAAACCATTTTCCCCATAAGATATAATGTAATTCCATTTAATCCATTCCAGACACTCAAAGTATTTACAAAAAATAATTTTTTAGAGATTAAATATAGATTTACATACAGAAAAGAATAGCAAATAAATATAAAGCACTAATAAAATGTATAAATGAACATTTAACACCACACTTACCTTTACTGAAGACTCTTGTTGGTGTATGGAAGACAGGGAGGAGGGGAGAGAGGGGGCGAGTTAATTGTTTGGAGACAGGTTAGAGAGGACAGATGGGCAGCAAAATGGGACGTACCAAACCAGGATCAGCCCATCAAGGCCGAATAAGCAACCAAATGCAAACCAGTACTGGAGAAACCAGGGGCTTGTACACCAGGGGACATACCAGGTAGTACATCACCAGTGGTATTAACGAAACACAAAGGGAGACAAAGCATCCCAAATGGTAATTCCTGCTTCATATTTGCAAATATTCAGGGTTTGAAATCAAATAAAAATGACAAAGTTAGCTATGTCAGTGGGCTCCTAACAGAAGCGAATGCCATGTTTGGAGCATTGACAGAAACACATACAAGGGATGTTTTGGACGGAGAGATAAAGATAGAAAACTACAATATGTACAGATGAGATAGAATTAATAAGTCACAGGGAGGAGTAGGAATCTATGTAAAGGATACTTACTGTTGCACAGAAGTGCTGAACTCTATGAATGATATAGTAGAAATTCTAGGCATTAAAGTTGAAAATAGGAATTTGGTAATTCTCATAGTATACAAACCACAATCAGCAACTGCTGAGGAATTCACAGATCAGCTAAGGAAGATAAATAGCTATGTGGATTGGCTAGAAAATCTCACAACAAATATTTTACTCCTTGGAGATTTTAATCTCCCTCACATAAAATGGAAGATGGCGCAACGTAATGTTATACCAGAAATATTCCCGGGAAGCACCCTGGCCCAAAAGGCACATACCAGGGAACTAATGAGGCTTTGTGAAAAGTACTCATTAAACCAACAGGTAATTGGTCCCACTAGAAATGAAAATACCCTGGATTTGATATTCACAAATACCGAGGAACTGATCAGAGACATAACAGTTACCAAAACAATATACTCTGATCATAACATCATAAAGTTCAAATGAGTGTTAACTCAGGGTTAGGGAACTGCATCACTAATGCAAGAGATGGTATGTTCAGTCAGTTTAATTTTAACAACCATATAATTGACTGGGAAAAGATAAACCAAGGGCTATCAGACATACCCTGGGAATCAGACATGAGCACCCTAAATTCCCACCAGAGCCTAGAGAAGCTGAATAGAGAAACATACAAGGTATGTATGAAGCATGTACCACTGAGGAAACCCAGAAGATCAGATATAGAGAGTGAGCATAGGAGATGGTACAGGAGAAGAAAACGGGTTACTGAATTGTTTAAAAACACAAATATGCTACAACAAAGGAAAGATAGGCTTAGTCGAGAGATAACTGAATTAGATCAAAAACTTAGGATGTCATACCTCACAGAAGAAGTACAAATGGAACAAAAGGCCATGTAGGACATTGCAAGAAACCCAAAATATTTCTATTCCTACACAAAATCCAAGCTAAGAACTACCTGTAGAATTGGACCACTACTGAGAGGAGACTTGTACACTGACGACGAACAGGAAATGAGTGAAATCCTAAAAGAACAGTATGAGTCGGTGTTCAGCAAACCACTAAATGACAGCAAGGTAGAAAATGCAGAAATATTTTTCACTCCAGAAAAAGGTCGCTCAGACCAACTAACTGACATTAGTGCAAATCCCATAGTTTTCGAAAAAGAAATGGGAAACAGTCCACTCACTCAGCACCTGGACCAGATTCATAGAATGCTCTATTGATAAAGAAGTGCAAAGTGCCACTAGCACGAGCTCTCAGTATTCTTTGGAGAAAGAGCTTAGATTTAGGTGAAATACCGGAGGCCTTAAAGAGTGCAGACATAGCTCCTTTGCATAAGGGAGGCAGTGGAGCACTAGTTAAAAATTACAGACCAGTAGCCTTAACCTCTCACATCGTAAAAATCTTCGAAAGAGTGATGAGATGGCAGATTGCAAATTTCATGGACCAGCACAACCAGCATAACCCGAACCAATGTGGTTTTAGAGCAGGATGATCATGCCTGTCACAGCTGCTGAACCATTATGACAGAATTACGGAAGCATTGGAAGACGACTAAAACGCAGATGTGGTTTACACAGATTTTGCAAAGGCATTTGACAAATGCGATCATGGAGTGATAGCACACAAAATGAAGGCCATGGGCATTACGGGAAAGATGAATTTTCGGTTTCCTAATACAGAACTCAAAAAGTAGTAGTGAACAGGGCAAGATGCAGCATCAGCGAGGTCAAAAGCTCATTGCCCCAAGGCGCTGTCCTGGCACCTCTGCTGTTTCTCATCCTCATAGCAGACAGATAAAAACACCCGGCATACTTTCGTATCATCATTTGCAGATGACACTAAAATAAGCATGAAAGTCAGTACAGTAGAGGTCACTGAAAAATTACAGGAAGACATAAACAGGGTTTTCCAGTGGGCAGTGGAGAACAACATGATAAATTCCAGCTGGTTAGGTATGGAAAAATGAAGAACTCAAAAGGAACACTATATACAGAACTCATGAGGGTCACCAAATAAAAGACCTGGGAATAATTATGTCAGCGAACCTTTCTTTTAAAGACCATAACAAGACAAAGGTCACGGCAGCCAGGAAGATGACGGGGTGGGTATTGAGAACTTTCAAAACAAGGGAAATAATGCCGATGGTGACACTCTTCAAATCACTAGTGCTCCTTCAATTAGAATATTGCTCAGTGCTGACGTCCCCATTCAGGGCAGGAGAGATATCAGAGCTGAAACAAATACGGAGATCATTTACGGCTCACACTGAGCCAGTAAAGCACCTAAACTACTGGGAGTGCCTTCAGGTCTTGAATGTGTATTCATTGGAGCAGAGGAGAAAGAGATGCATGATAATATATACGTACCTGGAAAGTACTTGAGGGCCTGGTCCCAAATTTGCACACTACCATAACAACATACTGGAGTGAGAGATATGGGAAGAAGTGTAAAATAAACCCAGTGAAGAGCAGGGGTTCGGTGGGGACAATAAGGGAACACTGTATCAACTTCTGGGGTCTCAGACTATTTAACATCTTACCAGAAGATATCAGAAACATGACTGGATCGAGTGTAGAAGCCCTCGAGTTAACTGGACAAGTATCTTCACCAGGTGCCAGATCAACCAGGCTGTGATGGATATGTGGGGCAGCAGGTCTCCAGCAGCAACAGCCTGGTTGACCAGGTAAGCACCAGATGAGCCTGGCCCATGGCTGGCTCAAAGAGTAAATTAACTCTTGAAGCTCTTCAAAGGTATATATCAAAGGTAGGACAAAATGCTTGAATATGACGCTAATATCAAGTCTGCGGCTTATTTATCTATCACAATTCATCTAATATGACATAATAAACTATTAATAACATAGA